AGTATTTTAAACTGTATAAAAAAAATTGAAATCAATTGTGAAAATCCATTCCTTATATAGGACGTTCTCTCCTGTTCGATCGGCATAAAATTTTTCGGTATGTGGCGCAGCACTTGATGTCTTTAGATGATTTGCACCATACTTAATATTAGACATTAATGTCTATTTTTTGGGTTATGAAAATGAAAATGAAAATCAATTAAATCAATTGAATAAAAGAATAAATATCAATAGTTTCAAACAAAAATGGTTATCTGAATATAAATGGCTTCATTATAACCACATCTGGAAAATATAAAAAAATTTTACACGTGTCAATTGTAAGTTTAATAATAAAAAAGTGTAAAACTTACAATATTACATCGGCATCGTAAGATTTATGCAAGTTTACACTAAATTAATTTCCTGATGCATATCCATAAACAAGTGTTTTGTACAATTTGCATTCAACATAAAAGAAAAAATCAATTTGCTCAAGAAATCAAAAGGCTACCTTGCAATATCACCATTTAACAAGAACCAAAAATTTATTACTTTTAAAATATTATTCATCCGGAAAATATAAAAAAATTTTACACGTTTCAATTGTAAGTTTAATAATAAAAAAGTGTAAAACTTACGTCGGCACTGTAAGATTTACACAATATTACGTCGGCATCGTAAGATTTATGCAAGTTTATGCTAAATTAATTTCCTGATGTTAAATAAAAATAAAAATATAAATAATTATAACAAATAAATTTATAGTGGAGATTAAATTAGTCAATCATCAATTCTTTCTAGTATCTAATGTTTATTAATCAATCAAAAGTATTATTAGTATATAATAATTAATGGATAGATAGTAATTTCCAATAAATTAATAATGAAATTTTTATTCACCTTCAGCATTTAAAAATCAAAAGTAATTAATGAGCTATCATTACTTGTATAACTTTTAAAGCTTTTTGATCTAGAAATTTCTTCATCTAATATTCTACTTGTATGATATGCACCTGGATGCGATATGTGTACATGTTGTGAAACAATGCTACCACCACTACCACCACCACTGCTGCTGTTGCTACAATCATTATCATGAATTTCTTTCAATTTATTATCAGCAAAAATAAAAAGATCTAGACTGGTTGGTCTTTTTGATGGATCTGCATCCCAACACCTCTGCATCATTTGCACATAATCATCAGGCTTTCCAGGCAATATTGGTGGTTGTAAACCTTCTGTACATATATCAAAAATTAAATGATGATTATGAGCCCTATCATCAAATGGTGGATTGCCTGCAAATATTTCCCACATTAACATCCCAACACTATAGATATCTGATTCTTTTGT